TTTTTGCCTACTTCAGAGAATTTATGATTGACCACAAAATCTACCTATTGAAATATCTCATGTTCAAACCAAACTAGTCAATCTATTTCCTAGTTAATCTTCCATCTTTGAGCCAGTTATCGAAGATGAATTCTTCTTTACCAGAAAAAGCGCTTTAAGACGGTTTTTCATCAAAGATAAGTAGTAGCTTCAATAGCTAGCCTAAGCCAAAGTTATTAAACTTGTTTGGTTAGTGTCATCGTGGCTTTTTGTAAGTATATCACTTTTTACACGCACGAGCACTCTTTACTGTTTATTTCACCATTCACAGCTATATATCTTTCAGGATCTACTCATATCCTGTCATCTTTCATTCGTCGACTGATCTCACAGGCATCGCAAATGCAAAAATGGGTTCTAAAGGCTGCTAATCAGATATTTTCGTTTTCCTATATGCTTACAACCAGTACAAATTCTTTTTCAAAACTCATCGATCATGTTCGATCAGCAGCGAAAGCAAACCAGTGGGTAACGATGATAATAGTCCTTATTTCATCCATTTCTTAGATTTTCTTTACAGTAACCGTGGAGAAGTTTTGGAGCGGGATTTTTTCAATCTTCGGAAAATGTTGGTAATCGTATCCTTGGACGGTGTCATCTTTGGACTGGATAGTAGTGATGGGTCAGTTGTGTGGCGCCATTGGCTAGGTGACAATTTTGCCCCTTTGATCAGCACTATAGGAGCACAGGAGGTATCTCTGGGAGGATCTCACAGGAGGTATTATATGAGATTGATATGTTTATTGTTCTAGGTCCCTCTGTTCATTCATCGAACTACTGCTCATTATCAACGGTCCGGATTAGCATCTGTAGTGTTTAGGGACTCTGTAAGTTCGTAAACCACTCTTTGCTAAATCTTTGCGAATTTCTTTTCTATTGCCAGACCTCTTCTGCTGGTGTTTTGGTGTTTTTTGATCCTATCACAGGAGAAATTAGGGATAGAACTCAGTTGATGACGGCGATCAAGCGAGCGGATGTGCTTAGCATCGCTGGCAAAGATCACATAAATCCATTACTTATAGTAGGACAAAATAATCAGGTGAGATCATTGTTTTTGGTTTCAATCTTTCCATAGCATCCAAATCAACGTCTGCGAAGATTCTCAATTGTCTGTAACCCTAGTGGTCCGGTAGATTATTCTTGGAGGGGCACGGGAGTAAAATTGGTAATGGGGGTGCGGCGTGAACCAGGCAGGACCGAGCCGTCCATTTTTGGCCAGTTGGCTGATTTTTCAAGGAGAGTAAATTACCTGTTTTTTCAAAATACTGGCATCTGTTTCCCTGAGGAAGAAGGGCGTTTTTTCCTCAACTTTCCTCTTTCCTTCCCCCACTCCCATCCTACTTCTTTAAGGATAACCCTGAACTTTATTCTTGCAGTTGTTTGACTCCCTTGTATGCAGCTACAGTTGCTCTTGAGTAGGCAGCTTTAGGATCTCTACGTTTTTCAGGTACATATCTTTCCTTCTCAACCTGACGAAGTGCTGCTTGCTGCACCACCGGTGTATATATTCAACATCGAATCCTCGCGCATTTCCGGAGCCAAACTTAATTTGGTGGGAAAGGAACTCATCAATACTTGGTCTGCAGATCTGCATCTCGCACCATCGGAACATATTATAATAGTCAAAGGAAAGCCTCGACATCGTGAGTTTTCTTCTATTCGAATTTTTTTGGGGGGCAGCAAGGCATAGGGAGGTTGTATAATTCTTATGAGAGAGGAGGTAAATAAGGATTTGCGATGTTTTTAGAAAAAGTGCATTCACAAGGACGTGTTTTAATCGACCGCAACGTTCAGTACAAATACGCAAATCCGAATCTGGTTCGAAATATTCTTAGCCAATCCTATAACGTTGGCCAAGTCACTTTGATTTTTAGGTTGCGATCGCTGCTCTCGATGCAGTCCACCAGCACTTGTTACTATTCCTCATAGATGTTGTATCCGGTCAGATGGTTCATTCTGCTCGCTTGCCGAAAGCTACTGCGCCTGTTCATCTTGTGCATTGTGAGCATTGGATTGCGGTGAGTTTGTGGTAGAAAAGCAAAGAGATGCATATTCATGCGTTTCTCTAATCATTTGGCAGGCTAATTTTAGAAGAAAGTTCGCTAGGTAATGATCAAACCATAAAACATGATACAGAATGAGTTGTCACTTGCCTCATCATACTAAACCGTAAGTCGTTCTTTCCGCCAGTTTCGCCGTATCGTTTTTTGAATCGATATCGATTTTATGGGTAAGCTAACGGCGAAAAATCGAAACATACCTGGAGGCGAAACAGGTGGAATCAGCGAAAAGGCGGTTAACGGCATAGTATGGTTGAACCGTGAGAAACACAAGCACAACTCATTCTATATCTCCTTCATTGTTATTTTCTTTAGTATTCGTATTGGTCCGAGAAAGGGCGACGTACAGAAATTGGAATACTTGAACTCTACGAAGGCAGCGAGCAAACCTATAAGGTTGTCATTTTGGGTATTCATTTCGAATAGTATTTACTGCATTTTTATGATGTCAAAAGCTTACAGGATCGCTTTGACTCGCTTACGCCTACAAAGCAACCTCCTGAGATCATTTCGCAAAGCTTCATTTACGCTCAAGGGATTCAAGCCATGGGAGTGAGTGAAACAGGTAAGGATCAGAAAATGCCCGAGAATTTTAGACATGCTTTTTACTTCAGAAAAGGGACTAACAACGAGATCGTTGTTGTTGGCTTTACCTCTAGGAGGTATCCATGAAGTGACCCGCAAGCTACTGGATGCGACGAGGCCTCTTGAACTGACGCAAGAAATGCGAGAAGAGATGATGATACCATACATGCCGGAAATTCCCGTTGCAACGGAAGATATGGTAAACTATAACCAAACCGTACACGGAGTTCGAGGAATTAAAACTGCGTTAGTTTTTTTTCCCTTAATTTAGCTCTGTCTACCGCATTTTTTCATCACCAAATGCAAATTTAGGGCATCAGGTTTGGAGTCCACTAGCCTTATGCTTGCTTATGGAAAAGATGTATTCTTCACTCGGCTGACACCTTCCGGAACGTTCGATATCTTGAAAGATGATTTTGATCATGTCCTTATTAGCGCAGTTTTATTCGGGTTGATTGCTGGTAGTATCATCTCAAAGAAGCTAGCAAGGAATAACGCTCTTTCTGCAGCTTGGACTTAACCATTTCAAACTGGGTAGCGGGATATTGTTTTTACAAGATACCGTAAAATGTTTAGGTTGTTTAGTCTGTAAAGGATTGTCCATCCAATGATGTTCTCAGCTCCGAAAATATCACCAGTGATGACATATGGAGGTTTTGATACCTATCTTTGCGGGCATTGATGAGGAGCTTCATTTGGCCTAGTTAAACAAACCTCTCCCTTTCTATTTCACTTGGTCTATATCCCTTTGTCTCTTCTTCAGGTACTTGGAGGGCTGTTGTACCCCTCCGGTGCAGCAGACACCAACGTTTACCTTATTTACCTTCCTTTAGTCTCTTCGTAACATCTGGTTTTACCATACTTTTTGGAACACCTTTTCTGGTTGGCCCTCTACTCAATCATCCATTGCTTATTGCTTGTAATCGTTAGGACATCCTTGAACTGTGCTTTATACATTCTTTATGTTTGATGCTTGATTTCTTTATACAGTACGATTAGTAAGTTTTGTTACATCAATTTATTATTGTTGTGACTTGGAGGTCGATTCTGCAATCTTTATCTTTAGGTTATGCAATGTCTCTTGTTTCTACCTTTCATTTTCTCCGCTCCTTTATGTGTAAAGAAGAGCTTGCTTGTTCTGATGGGACTACAGACCAGAATTTCCTGATATTTATATATAATTAGGCACTCTGCACACAACATCACTTCTACGATTCAGTTCCCATACTTGAACTTTCCTAGCGGTACTTTGAGTTGAGGTTATAATTTTAACCTTTTCTGTAGCATGGTGCGTCGATAATATTGCTGTCCGTTACGGATGTTCATTCGTAATAAAATTATTCGAAAGTGAGTATCCCGAATCGCCATTCAAAATTTACCCGAACGAATATTCGAATAGTAGAGATCCTGTATACTCGTTCGAATTATCGAATAATTGGGTATGACCGTATTCGAATAAGTGCGCTTTTTCGAGTATTCGACTTACGAATCAAAAATCGAATTATTCGAATATCCAACAATAAGTCGAAAACTCAGTCTCAATCATCGTTGATCTCGCAGATATTCGGTCAAACAAATCGATGATTTCGCAAACATGATCGAATATCGCGCATCAGTTCTAAAATTAGCTCAAGTGTCGATGTTACAAAATATTAGACTATTGGAATAATCGACTAATTGTATCTTTTCGATCGTTCGACTATTAGAATCGAATAAACGCGCTTTCTCGATTACTTGTACATCGAACATTCGAATTATTCAAAATCCTCGAACATTTTGTTCGAGTACGAATATTCGGTCTCAATTATAAACCTAGTAGAGGCTTAAAACGTGTACAAAGAAATCTAACGTTCATTATTAGGAACGTTGACTCGTCAGCTTCCCCTATCAGATGACAACCTATTCAGTGCTTCATTCAGTACAATTGGGCGTATCTGCGAAGCTTCATCTTCTCGATCATATCAAAAGATCGTGCTTGTCTCTGGAGCTCCATTGGGTTTTGCGGTTACGCTTGCGGTTGCAGAATCATAAGTCAGGAATTTTCTATAGAATAATGCCTAATGCTTTCTCTGCTACTACAGAACATCAACTAATGAAATTTTACGTTAGGAAGGGTAAGCGGTCAGGACATACGATTAGTTTGAAACTTTGCAAGTTGTAGCATAACACTCTGAACCTGATCAGCCTTTTCCCTTATGGGACTTTCGATTGTACATTCATTGAGTATATAACGGAGCTAGTAGCTACTCAAACAATATAAGTATGACTAGAAAACATGATTTTCGCGTAGTAGGTCATCACGAAAGCCCATTGCACCAAAAAATAAATTCCTACTTAAGGAAGACCACAGGAAGTCATGTGAAATGCAGCAGTAAAGAGTCAGTGTGGTGCTCTGGATCAAAATTTCGATTCAGCCTTCTGAAGTGTTAACATTTAATGTGTGCTTGCCAATTTCGAAACGTAGAAAACAGTATGACCGAGGGCGGGGGGTTGTTATTTGTAAGCGGCAATGACGTAAGCATCGTGTGTGGCAAATTACGTGGTTTGCGGCGATGTAAGCTAGAATCTAAATCTACGTAGCTGGCTGCGCAGGCGATTTGCGTCGCGGCAGGTTCATCACGCAGCCATTAGAGTCTGTGTGAAAATGTCCTTTGGAAACGTGTTTTACCATAGTGAGAAGTTTAATTATCTTATTTTCAGTTTCAGTGTATCATAGGACTTAGTTTTAGTAACTTCAATGTGTGGCCGAATCCGTTTCCAGTGAATAGCACTGACGATAGAAAGAATGCTTCATCAACTTATTAGAGACTGATAAATAGTATTTCTAAGAAAACTAGTGGTGTATAGAATTGACTTTAGCCTCTTCATCTAAGTTCCACCTTTACCTGAATCTACATCGAAGCATTGACCTGTAACTTCAACCAACTTCAAACTCGAAAACTCATACTGTTCATCATTCAGCTATAGAGTGGTGGAAGGCTTCCCTTGTTACATATTTCCTCTCTAATAAAAACTTTAAAAGCATAAGAGCTCCCGAAAATGGCTTTTTGCTGAATCACAGCACAAAAAAAA